CTAAAGTTTCAATTTAAAGGCCCGTGCCATTTGAAGATGAAAGAGGTTCTCCGGCGTCTTCTTTAGCACCCGACTAATTGTTGTCTTAGCATTATCCCGAAGATCCTCTGCTGGTTCTTGTCCAAAAAAATCTTTTCACCGTCCATATACACAGGTGCATAGTAGTACATACATATACACATATATATTCGGAATATACATACGTATATACATATCTGTATACATATAGATAGACTGTCTCGAGCAGCCACTCCAGCGTTTTTTTTCTCTCTTTCCCGAGGAGCAGCTTCGGCAGCAACCAGAGACGACGTCGGCGTCGGCGTCGGCAGCATCTCTCGAGGAAGGGCATTGTTTTATTCCGACCGCGTAGCAGACACTCCTCATCCCCTTCGCCGTAGCTTTCCTTCCCTGACTGCCACTCTCGACAATTTACCCCCGTCTCGACCCCCTTCTCCCTTCGGTTTTCCACTCTCCTCCAATTCCATTGCCTACCCCCAGACCACCTTGGCCACCCTTCCGATAACGCCATGGCTTAATGACGCTCTGCTCGCCTCGATATCGCATTGCGTATACCTATTAGATTCTTCAATAACTTCCTACCATTTACCTTTTCTTTTTTAATAAATACCTGGACCGGGCGCGCCAATTCCGCGCGGCCTCATAACCAAAGCAGATTTTTAGCTTACACTCGCTACTCCTCTTGAGGCAATACGATTTCTATCTTGATATCTGCAGATCTTAATATCTATAGAAACACAAGGTGATTCTTATTGAACCAAATTTGAAAATTCCAAAATCTGGAGTCCACACGCTTCCCAAAGAAGGAACTGTATTAAGAAGAAAGTTTCGAAGTGGCGAGTATAAGCACAAGGTCAATACAGGAACTTATTGGACTCTAATATCAAACGTCGATATGGTTTTTTTCTTCCCCGCGTTTCCTTTTCCTATGGTACCCCCTACTATCGCCTACCCTCTTCTATCTCTTCGAATGGCTATTTTTTTCACAATACCCCGGCAAATATTTCGGCAAAGCCAGGTTTAATATGTGGAAAAGCTAGGCCGGATATAGCAACGGCTTATTGCCAGTTGTTATTTTCGGACGGGGTTATAACGGGGGGGTGGTCGATCACTGAAAGGATAGACGCGACAAGGGGATAGGTGAAGAGCAGCCAGAGAATACTGACCGTGATACAATACGATTCTAATAATCCGTGGTTAACAAGTTGGGTAGAATTACAGGAAGAACTTCCTAAGACACTGGGACCCTTTTATTTTATGTTTTATAACACGATTTTATGGCTGGCTTATGACGTGTCAGATTTAAGCTTATAGTTCAATTAAAATTGGTATTTAATTGCTTTTGTATGTTCTTTCCTACGATTTTCTTATCATAATAGCTCATTATAAAGCGTTAAAGTTGTGTATCAGGTAGATACAATCCTACCTGACTTTTTACTCATAAAAGTCCAAAGCAAATTCATGACATAAAAGTACATCAGATTAGCACTGATGATACGTGAATAGGAAATTAAAAGTCTAAAGAAAAAGAGTACTTACACGTTTCGTCGTTATTTTTATTTTAATATACTTGGCCAGTGGCCTCAAGGTTACAACGTGCAGTACATTGGTTTATAATGTTTGATACGATTTCCTAACCAAAAGGTATAACAAAAGTATACTTATGATACATCAATGGAAAGCTTAAAGCTTATAAAGAATGAGTGCATACAAATTTAATCGGAATTCTCATTACAAGATGGCTAACCGTCGGCCTCAAAGCAACCCCCCAATACCAACTTATAAATTGTTTATTCAAAACCAACCACTTTATGTGAAAAACATGAATAAACCGTTTACACAGATATTTTCTTTATACTTCAAGCTTTAAATCGATATGCCAGAAGTATTATTCCGAAATGTCTATACCGCGAAATCACACGAGACTTCGTACGATTGAAAATCAGTGGAACGAAATGATCCGGGGCACAGAGGTCGCCGAAACGTCGTTTTTATTAGACGAATATCTCAATTTGTCTCGCGTGACAAAACCCCTATTTCTCTATTGGCGATGAGCCACTAATTCCTAGGGGAAAAATTCGCGGAAGGCGAACGGCACGCTAATTCGTGTTATCGGCAATCCGGTAGCATCTGGGCGTAGTCGGCTCAACGGCGGACACGACATTTCAATCCGCAAGCAGCGAAAGCGGTTTACCGCTCTTTTTTTTTTCGCCGACGCGTATACACGAGTTCCGCGCGGATACGCTCGTAAAACGGTTATTCCCGAGCGAGCAGGTGGCGATGGTGGCGACAGGGGTTAGGAAGAGAGCTTTCGAAACGGATACAGGAGGATCGAGTTACGGAACAAACGATGTTCCCTTTTGTATTTCGACAAAATCGGTAAGGAACATTCTGTCTTGTGTCGATACACTGTTTACCCTGGTAACCGTTTATCGATCGGTATTCGTTGACTGATACGTTCTAGTGATATCACGGACGTTTATTATATTAATAGCGTTCATTAGTTGTGGCGACGCGTAACCTACAATTTTAGGTGAAATGATATTCAAATTATTTGCATTCATTACTGTCATTATTATAATATTATTATATTATTACTGTTATTATTACTAGGTTGTTATAACAGTTATTTCAAGAAGATGGAATAGAATTGGAGTTTCAATATTACCAATATTGGTATCAAGACTATAATAATACTTTGATTGATACTATAATCAATACATATTGGTACTACATACTGGTGCTAATATTCTAGTATCAATATCACCAATACCTCAGTAGTATACAGTAGATATACACCACTAGTAAAATCATTTAATTACTATATCATATACAGGGTGTCCCACAATTAGTATAGGTCCCTGAAATGGGAGATAGCTGACGTGATTCTGAACAAGATTTCCGTTTGCAGAAATGGGGTTTGAAGCTTCGTTTTTGAATTATTAAGGAAAAACACGGACCAATCAGAGCGCAAGGATTACGCATGCGCAAGCACGAGAGCGGGAGCTTCGGATAACGCGCTGTTATCCAACGCGTGGTAATCCAACGCGTAGTAATACAACGCGTGGTAATGCAACGCGTGGTAATCCTACGCGTAGTGATCCAGCGCTTAGTAATACAACGTATAGTAATACAGCGTGTGGATATCCAACGCGTAGTAATCTGTCGCGTGCATATTCAGCGTGTAGTAATCCAACGCGTAATAATGCAACGCGTGGTAATTCTAAGCGTAGGAGTCTAATGCGTGGTAATCCAGCGTGTAGATGTCTAACGCGTAGTAATTCAGCGCGTGGTAATCCAACGCGTAGTAATGCAACGCATGGTAATGCAACGCGTGGTAATCCTACGCGTAGT